ATGCTTTCAGGGGACATCTAGGTCAATTGGCATAACAAAGCTTATTAAGAAAATGTTCTGCATCCTACTTTGGTGAGTGGCGTCTGGGGTCATCTAAGATGCATCAATTGGTCCCAACCACCTGGTGCAAAGGAGAATGAAGAACACCAAAGACACAAGGAAAGTAGTAACCCAAGAGACAGAAAGGCCCACATAAACCAGAGACTCCATAAGCCTGAGACCAGAAGAACTAGATGGTGCCTGGCTACCACCAATGACTGTCCTGACAGGGAACATAACAGAGAGTCCCGGAAGGAGCAGGAGAAAGGTGGGGTGCAGAACTCACATTCCAGTAAGAAGACCAGACTTAATGGTTTGACTGAGACTGGAGGAACCCTGGAAAGCATAACCCCCAGATTCTCTATCAGCCCAGAACTAAAACAATTTCCGAGGCCAACTCTTCAGACAGGGATTGGACTGGACTGTGAGACATAAAGTGATACTCGTGAAGATTGCGCCTCTTAGTTCAAGTAGATACAAGAGACTAAAGGGGCAGCTTCTGTCCGGAGGTGAGATGGGAAGGCAGAGAGGATTAGGAGCTGGTTGAATGGACATGGGGAATTAGGGATGGAAAGGAGGAGTGTGCTGTCACAGTATGGGGAGAGCAATTAGAGTCACATAACAATGTATGTATAAATTTTTGTATGGGAAAAAATTTTTTAAAAATCCAATGGGTAATAAATCAAAAATGAAATGAAAAAAAATCCTAAAATCAAATGAGAATGAAAGCATATCTTATCAAAACCTTTGGGACAAAGCAAAAGCAATGCTCAGAGGACAATTTATAGTAACAGATGCACACATCAAAAAAGAAAGGCCAAAATCAAAACATTAACACTACACCTTGAACAAACAGAAAGAGAGCAACAAAAAAAGCCCATAGTCACTAGAAGAAAAGAAATAATAAAGATCAGAGCATAAATAAATGAAATAGAGAACAGAAAAACAGTAGAAAGTATCAGCAAGACCAGAAGTTGGTTCTTTGAAAGGATCAACAGAATTGACAAACCATTGGCCAAACTGACAAAAAAAAAAGAAAAAACAGGAGAGAAAGCAAATAACCCAAATAAGAAATGAGATTGGTGACATTACAAAAGAACCAACTGAAATATACAGGTTCATAACAGAGTACTATAAAACTACACTCCAACAAATTTGAAAACTTATAGGAAATGAACAAATTTCTAGTAACACATTACCTACCTAAACTAACACAAACTGAGATAGACAATCCAAACAGACCCATAACAAAAGAAGTGGTTGCAAAGGTAATAAAAAAAACTCCCAACAAAAACAAGCCCTGGCCTAGACAGCCTCACTGGAGAATTCTACCAAACATTCAGAGAAGAGTTTATACCAATAATACTCAAACTATTTCAGAGGATAGAAAAGGAAGGAAAACTCCCAAATTCATTCTATGAAGCCAGCATAATCCTTATACCAAAGCCAGGCAAAGACTCCACAAAAAAAGAAAATTACAGACCGATATCCCTCATGAGCATAGACGCAAAAATTCTCAATAAAATTCTAGCCAATAGAATTCAACAGCATATCAAGAAAATAATACATCAACATCATGACCAAGTGGGATTCATACCAGGTACGCAAGGATGGTTCAATGTCAGAAAAGCAATTGACGTAATCCACCACATAAATAAAAGAATCAAATGATCATCTCAGTTGATGCACAAAAGGCATCTGATAAAGTCCAATACCTATCCCTGTTAAAAACTCTCAGCAAAATAGGAATAGAATGGAAATTTCCTCAACGCAGTAAACAGCATTTATATAAAACCAACAGCCAACACTATTCTCAATGGAGAGAGACTGAAAGCATTCCCCCTGAGAATGGGAACCAGACAAGGACGCCCTTTATCACCACTCTTATTCAACATTGTACTGGAAGTCCTAGCTAGAGCAATAAGGCAAGAAAAGGAAAAAAAAGGCATACGAATTGGTAAGAAAAAAGTAAAACTGTCCCTACTTGCAGATGATATGATCCTATACACAGAAAATCCCAAAGATTCCACAAGAAAGCTACTGGAATTAATAGAAGGAGTCCGCAAAGTAGCAGGATACAAGATCAACATACAAAAATAAGTTGGATTCCTATACAACAACAAAGAGAACTTCAAAAATGAAATCAGGAAAAAAAAATGCCATTTACAATAGCCCCCATAAGATAAAATACTTAAGAATAAACTCAACCAGGGACATAAAAGATGTATACAAAGAAAACTACAAAACACTACTGCAAGAAAACAAAAGAGACCTACATAAATGGAAAAACATACCATGCTCATGGATAAGAAGATTCAACATTGTGAAAATATCGATACTACCCAAAGTGATCTACAGATATAATGCAATCCCAATCCAAATTCCAGCAACTTTCTTTACTGAGATGGAAAAGCTAATCACCAACTTTATATGAAAAGGAAAGAGACCCTGGATAAGTGAAGGATTATTGAAGAAGAGGAACAAAGTAGGAGGCTTCTAATTACCTGATCTCAGAACATACTATACAGTTACAGTAGTCACAACAGCCTGGTACTGGTACAATGACAGACACACAGAGCAATGGAACACAATCCAGAACCCAGACATAAATCTATCCACCTATGGTCAGCTGATCTTTGACAAAAGACCAAAGTCCATAAAATGAGGAAAGACACTTTTTTTTAACAAATGGTGCTGGCAAAACTGGATGTCAATTTGAAAGAAAATAAAACAGGTCCCATACACATACACACCATACACAAAAACTAACTCAAAGTGGATCAAAGACCTAAATATAAAATGTAAAACAATGAATATCATGGAATAAAAAATAGGGACAACGCTAGGAGCCCTAATACACGGCATAAATTCAATACAAACCACAACTAACAATGCACAAACATCAGAAGATAAATTAGATAAAACAAAACAACAAAAAAGAATGGGCTTGCTGGTCTGACAGAGACTGGAGGAACCCCCAAGACTATGGCCATAAGACACCCGGGTGACCTGGAAATTATGCCACTCCCAGAGACCACCTCCCAGCCAAACAATAGACAAGTACATAAGATAAACAATAACACCCGAGAGGAACGTACTCCTTAGAACCATCAATTATAAGAAGGGGTAGATAATCAGGGCAAAAGAAAACGGGGAAACCAGGGTGGAAATAGGAAGGGTGCTGACACATTGTAGGGAATGAAAATCTTTATGCAGAAACTATTGAACAGGAAACTAATCTTCTCTGCAAACTTTCATCTAAAGCACCATTCAAAAAAAAGAATTAAAAAAAAACAAAAAAAGAACGCAATCCAAACAGTCCCATACCTAGGATATGGGCAAATGACATAAGAGCCTAGCTCATTTGAATAACTTATTGGATGTCACTATATACCATACACTAAAACCAAAAAACCAAACCCGGGCCATCAAGTCAATTCCAACTCATAGGGACCCTACAGGACACATTAGAACTGCCCCATAGACTTTTCAAGGCTGTAATCTTTACAGAAGCCGAAAAGCAGCAGGTAGGTTTGAATCACTGACCTTTTGGTTAGCGGCAGAGCACTTAACACTGCACCACTAGGGCTTCTTATACCATATACAGTGCTAGATAACTCCACAAATTTTTCTTTACTCATTCTTTAACCAAAGTGGTATATGAGGCATTGATGGTTCAGTGGTAGAATTCTTGCTATCCATGAGAGAGACCTTGGTTTGATTCTTGGCCAATGCACCTCATGCACAGCCACCACCTGTCTAGCAGTGGAAGTTTGTGTGTTGCTATCATGCTGAACAGGTTTCAGTGCAGCTTCCAGACTAAGACAGACTAGGAAGAAAAGCCTGGTGATCCACTTCTGAAACATCAGCCAATGACTCTATCATGGGGATGGCACAGGATCAGGCAGCATCTAGTTCCATTGTGTATGGGTCCACCATGATTCCGGGGCTAACAACAAGTGGTATATGGGTATTATTATTACCCTGTAAATGGGGAAACTCAGGTTCGGTGAGGCAGTCACTTACAAGTGCTGCAACAAGTGTTAGAGCTGGATATAAAACGAGGTCTGCTGGGTGCCCCAACTGAAGGAAATTTCCTCTCCCTAAATTTCCCTAGCAATAAAGCAAGATTGAGCTTTGTTATAATCTCCACACTGTACCCTTCAGTGTCTTTAAATGAAGCTCTCGGTGGTGTGGTCCTCCTTAGACAAACTTTCTCTCTCTCTCCCCCGTACATTACAGTAACTTCCCAATGCAAGGCTAGAGCTACTTAACCCCTTGTGATCATTACCATTTGCTTCCTCTGTAAGGTCACTGTTCCAAGTTGATGTTGTTAACAGTCAGACTAGCCCTGCGTGATGACCACTGAACTCTAGACTGTGGCTTGAATTTTCTTCTTTTCTTTTCTGTCCTCCTGTCTCTCTATCTCCTCCCACCCTCTCACCCTTCCCTCCTTTCTGTCTTTCTTCCTTTCTTTCTGTCTTTTCTTTTAAGCAGTAAGCTTCAAAGAAAGGTCCTGGGACTATGATTTCTGGACCGGTCTCTACCAGGACTTGTATGCGCTAGGAGACCCGGTTGTTACCATACAGCCACCCTTCAAGGGGTTGAACGTTACCAACAACAAACACAAAAACCCACCTAACAACCTTCACCTTATTTCTGTGGTGCTAATTAGTTTCAAATTCCAACGCTTTACCAGTGTACAAAAGCCTATACGATTTGCTTCTCAGATCTCTTCCTTCGCAGATCCGCCCCACTGCTCCTCATTGGCACTTCTCCCTCCCGCCACACGGCGGCACCTCGCGAGAGGCACAGGGCCGATGGTACAATCCGTTCTCCCCGCGCCCTTTCAGCAGTGGGTTCTTCCAGCCGTAGAAAAGCATTGTGGGAAGATCATGCGGTCTTTCCTACCTTCCGCAGACCGGGGATGGTTGGTAGTGCTGCCGGGGTCCGCATGGCGAGCGACTCCTGCCGCGAGGCCGCGCGCGTGGCTGCCGAAAGCGGCGGCCCGGGACAGGGGCGCGTGGCCGCCCTGAGCCTGGTGAGGCGGCCGGGCCTCGGGCCCGGAACGCGAGAAAGGCAGCGATCCTGGCCTTGCTCGGCCACGTTCTCCATGTGATGTCTGGAGGGCCGGGACCGGCCTGCTAGCTGCGTTTCCTTACCAGGAAAATGGGGACACTCGTTTCCTGTATTTTAAGTTTACTGATGATCGACTGCATGCCAGGGAGTCTTTAATATAAGCAAGGATATTTTCGTGAATGAGAACGGTCTTACCCCAGTGTAAAATCGGTGAATGTAGAAGTAAAATGTGCCGTTTAGGGTTTAGATCATTAGAACTTCCTGCCATAGCTGCGGAACTTGACAGTGAATGAGTTATGGAATTCAGGTGAGTTCTTTTTAACGCAAAAAAAACTCAGTGGCCGGGGGAGGAGGGTTAATTTAAACCAGTTACTACTGTATTGAAAACACGTTGTCTTTTAGTTTTCCTTACCAAGTCGGGTTTTGAAATTCGAACTGGAATTAGTTAATTGCTGTTTGATACAGAAACAATTAACCGTTTGATTTAGGGTCAGCAATCTTGTGCCGCAGATAACGGGATCCAAGGCAGTTTACATGCAGGCCTTTGTGTTGCCCATTCACTTTCGGAAACTAGTGAATGTGGTGTCAAAAAAGGCGTAAATTAAACTCTTTGCAGCTATTTTCAGCCCCTGAATTTGATTTCTTTGGTGTAGGAGCTGCATAAGTTACAGTTAATACCTTTACAATCATTTGTTCACGCAGCTGCATTTTCGTCTCCCAAAATTAAATGTATGGTTTATCTTAACCAGTTTTAACTAATTTTTGTTTAGGAGGAAAACTGATGCTTGAAAATGGCTGCTGCTAATTTTAATACCATTTGCACAAAAATGACTTAAGGTATGGTGACATTCTTGAAGCAGAAATTGTCCTGTTAAAAAAGTTATTTGTGATCCAACTTCTATCACCTTTCTAGATTGGGAGTCCTCTGGTGGGTATTAGTTTAAATTAGTTGTTAATAGTTCATTGATATCGTTAATACTGCTGTATCTGTAGAGTTCAAGGTTAAGTTAAACAACAAACAGGACAGCCTCTTGCCAGCTTAATCTTTGTGAACAAAAAAAAGGCTGTGCTGATTTTTCTGGGTAGTCCAGAGAAACAAATTTAATACATAGTACCTGGGGTTCAGGATGTGCCACGTGTAAATACTTACTTGCCAAATTTAGTGGTTTTTTATTTTTCTCTCTCTCTTAGGATGACCTTTGTGATGATTTTGAATTTTTGATCTTCAGAGAAGTTACTTGGATCACTGAAATAATTGCCTTTGGGCAGTCCATAATTAGGTGTTTAAACCAATGGGGATTTGAATAAACTATTAAATGTGCTTCTTGGAGGTTTGTGTTTTGAGTAATTAACTAGCAGAAAATAACACTCTTACTAAAATATTGAAGAGGTTTGTTTCCACCCCTAGAGCAACTTCAAAACTCCAGAAGGGAAAATACTCAAAAAAACGTATTGTCAAATGTAAGACCTATTTTAATTGATTATTCTGTCATGCTTTTAACAATTAAGGTTTGACATGTTGGGGGGGGAAAAAAATGAAGAAAATTATAGTCACTGATACTTGTATGAAATACAGGTTGTGTTAGACCCAAAGACCAGAACTAGATTAGCTGGTTTCTAGGTCACAGGTATGCTTTATATTGTCACTGCAGGTTTTTTTTGTTTTTTTTTTTTTTTTAAACTAGATTGTACACTTAAGTAAACATACCTTCTGCCTTTTTCTTGTTACAGAAAGAACATAATCAGCCATTCAAAAATTTTATTGAAAGCACTGTACTAAGTGCTGGGAACACAATAGAAGCAAAACACAGTTGCTCCATTTGGAACCTTACAGTCAGTGGAGGAAATGTCATCACAAATGTAAAATTGCCTTTGTGAGACAAATGCCATGGTAGGATTTGACACAAGTTAGAGGAACCTGAGAAAGCAGAATTGAGATGATAAGTGCAAGTACCGTATTTTTCCAGCCAAAGTTGGAGGGATGGCATGTGAGAGGCCTTAGGCTAGAAAATGGGTATGTCCATCCAAATTTAGCTCACACTTTCCCTGTAGTGCCCTAGTTTAGATAACAGGTGAATGCTTCATGAAGCTTGTAAAAAGGCCATTATGGGAGCTGGTGTATTAGCAGATGACGCTGAAAAGGAGGTAGGTAGAGGCCAGACCGTTAAGGCTTTGGCTGTGTTAAAACAAGTGATGAAAATCCATGGTAGGAAAAAGTTAAGATTTGGTTTTTGGAAAAAATATTGGCTGTGATGTAATGGAATTGGAGGAAGAAGAAAAGGGATACATACCTGCTAGTTAGAGGATACTGTGGCGATCTACTTCTGAAAATCACTGAAAACCCTGTGAAGCACAGTTCTACTCTGACACACCTGGGGTTGCCATGAGTGGGAGCCGAGTAACTGAGTGTTGATACCTGGCTTGGGCCAGTGCGATAAAATTTGTGAAAACAAACTATCAGGAGCTATGACAGCAGGGCTTGATAATAGGAGACTCCTAGGTGTATGCCTTGCACAAGCGTAACAGCCTGATGTCCAGCAGAGGAGGGGCATTTTAAACTTGTTGAATTTTAATTGTTTTTGAGAAATCCAAGTGGCCTCAGATGGGCAGTAGAATATAGTGGTCTGTTTAAGCAACAGAACTTTTAAGGCCATTAGTGTAAGGTTTGAGTCTTGAGTAAGGTCATGAGTCTAGGGTTTGAAAAACAAGTAATGGCAAGGTAGAATAGGGTAAGCTGCAAAAGATGGTCAGAAAAGGTAGAAGCAAAAGAGTGTGTTGGAAGAAGTCCTAAAAATTATCCTTGGGGTTTAGTTTGGTGACAGTGACCTTAGCCAGGTCAGCTTTAGTGGAGGAATAGGGGAGAATCCAGATAAGAGATAGTTTATAACTGGAATTAGGTGATTAACTGGGGACACTGAGTAAAGAATCTTTTCCACAAATTTAGCTGAAAATGGGAGAGATAGCTGGAGAGGGTTTTGAAGTTGTGAAAGTAGGTTTACTTTAAGTGGCAGTCTTAAGTTTAAAACCAAGTAGGAAGGATAAACAAGGATCCTGAGGAGGCTAGGAGGGGATGGAATCTAAAGCACAGGTGAGGAATAGAACAGGAGGGAAGGATTAGGGTTGAACGAGCTGTGGGGAAGTTTGTATGTGGCAACAGGAAGATAAAAGTTCTGTGAAGTAGATAGCAAGGTCATCTACAGACAGGAAAGGTATGAAATAAGTCACTGGGGAAGAACAGCCAGGGTCAACCATTGGAGGTCGAGGGTCATGAATTTAGAATGCAGAGGTTAACTGAAATGCACATTTACAGTTTTTTTTTTTTTTTTTTTGGAAAACACAAGGGCACTTCAGAAATTAAAAGGCAATACTTAAAAACCAAAAAGCATTTTACATCATTTATAAATCACCTATGGAACTTACACAAAGTACAGATACAAAGAACTTAGTATGATAAAAATGTCCACAGTCTGAAAGTGATACTCAGCCCTTGTACATTTAGCTTGGACTGAGAACCACCTGGAGTTGGGAAGAGCTTTTCCTCCCACTTTGTGTACTATTGCACAGCTAGTAAACTGCAGTCCAGGATTCCAAACCTTGAGCTAGTCTTGGCTGTGGTGGACACACACAACTTGAGTCGTAATATACTGTCCCAGTATGGAGATACAGCATCATGTGAATGCATTTTTACAAGACTGTCCTTCCAGACACCAAAATAATAAAGCCCTTTGGCACAAGTATACTGTAGTTTTAAATCTTTAAAGAAGCAAGAGGCTATTTTGTAAAGAAACACTTGCAGATCCAGGATGTTTAAACAATTATAATTCACAGTTTCAAAATAACAATGGCACACACCCTTCCCACCCGCATCACAGACGCTTTAGTGGAATCAAGTCTCTATCTTGAGGCGTGAAGCTTGGACAGTTTTTACTGTTTTTGCTGTGTGTTTTCCAGCCAGATTGCTTGTAGACGTCTGAGATTTTTCTTCAATCAGGCTATCTTTAGACCCATTTCTTCTCTAAAGGAACATTTGAAAAATACAGAAAATAAGATTCAGAAGAGAACACAGCCAAATATGAATATTAATACATCAGAAATTACTGAGCTTTTGTTAATATTTTAAACATGAAGTTATAATTATTCAAGAATGGTTAATACCAAAGGCTTTTCAATCAATATTCCCACTATTTAGTTTAAACAGTTAACTGCTAAATAAATAATTGCATGAACAAGATTATATGTACAATTTGATCTTAAAATTTCTAAGTTTGATAGACATAATGAGTATTTTATTCATGAAAATTAGGTATAAATCTCAATTCATTTCACCCAAATAAATGTAGTATTTCTTTTGTAGAGTCATTCCTAAATACACTTTTCAGTTGTACTTTTTTGAAGAGGACAAGATGAGAATGAGGAGGTTGAGGTAATTTATAATCTTCCTTGATATATATTTTCAGTAGTCACTGAATTAAAACCACCACAGCACAATGTCCTGGGAACCCCCATACCTGGGGTCAGAGATACCTGTCATCTGGGGGATGAGTGTCTCAAGTGGACTTGGAATATGAGTGCCACTGGGGCACTCCAGTCCCTTCACATGGTGGCCAGATCAGTGGCTTCCTTTTGGCCCTTATAATAAACTTTAAACTCCTTTCATATAGCCTTTAAGGCCTTGCTGCATTACCTTCCGTTCCCGTCAGCATGCTGTGGCCACACTGGTCTTACCCAGGCCCTTTCTAGCCTCAGCAGATTTTCCCAGGCTCCTCACAGGCTGGCTCTCAGCTTTAAATGGCACTTCCAGAGTCTCCTCTGACCACCCTATTTTAAGTGAGGTCACCCTGTTGATTATCTAGCTCAGCCCTTTGTTTTCTTCATATTGCTTATCTTAATTTGTATTTGTTTTGCCTGTTTTATGTCTGGGGCAAGGTTTGGCAAACATTTTCTGTAAAGGACCAGATTTTGGATCACATCCTGTCTCTGTCGCATAGTCTGGTTTTTGTTTTTGTTTTTTTTTGAGAACACAACGCTTTAAAAATGTGAAAACCACTTAGCTCCAAGGGCTTACAAAAACAGGCAGCAGGCTGGATTTGGCCCATAAGCTGATCCCTTGTCTAGGTACTTGCCAGTGCCCGGACAAGTTCCTGTCACTTCTTAGATGTGCTCATTGGATATTTCTTAAGTTGAAAACAGAGGTGTCCCAGAGAGAGGACTGCAGTTAGTGCATTGATCAGAAGGTACATGTGAGTTGTTCTTGTGTGAAGTATTCTTTCAACATTAATGTGTATAACAGAAGATTTTTGAGATTCCTGAGTGATAGTGATTAGTAAGAAATCTAGAGCAGTTGGAAAAGCAGAAATACAATAACATTTCTATCTGTATTGAAGCCAACTTTAAGAACCAAAAAAAAAAAGGCTGTGGAAAATAATAGTGTTAATCTGCACAATAACCTATGAAGTAGGTTATTATCTACATTATGTAGAAATTAAGGCTTAGAAGTTAAGTTCAAAGTCACAAGTAGGTGCAGATGAGACGCAAATGCAGGTCAATATGAATGCAGAAAATTAATCAACAGTATAATTTTGAAAAAGTGCAATAGAGTTGAAACAAAAATTGTCTGTTTGGACAACCTGTTAGCTCTGCCAGATTTTGTGGAATCAGATGCAGGCTGTAGTGGAAGTTTGCCACCCAGATCCCTGTTCAGGACTGATGTGCTCATTCCCCTAGCTGCTGGGAGTGCTGGCTGCTGTATAGCTCAAAACTGTGTCCCTCCCCAGCAACTGCCTTTAGCTGAAGACCACCACCTTGCCCGAGGTCATGCCCCCTCCAAGGACACCCTATATGCAATGATAGCTAGATGATGTGTGTGTAAAGGCCTAGCCCCCTTGCCTCAAGATGTGGGATGAATCTAAAGGACTGTTTCAGCTCCAGAGCTCCCCAAAGAACCAGCTGATGCCTTTATTGGCACTGTATTTAAGTTCAATTCTTGCCTGTGCCCAAACCTATTTTTTTTTTTCACTCCTCAACAACTGTTGGTCCTAAGAGCGGTCTCCGATAAACTTCCTGCTCAGAATCTAATTCTAGTGAACCTAACCTCAGTTAGTACAGGGTTTTCCTGTCCTTGTTCAAATCATTGATAAAAATGTGAAACAGGACAAATGAAGGGCAGCACATGGTGGATGCTCCTGAATCCAGGTTCTTAGGTGGTCCATGAACTCCATGAATTTATATACAAAACTGCATGTGCTTACATATGAGGAGAGACAGTAGTTATAATTGGCTTTTCAAAGGGATCTGTTATCTGAAAAAGACTGAAAACCACAGCATGACAAATGATGGACTGACACTGATCCATAATATCAATTTTGTTTTTAGTGATTGTTTAACTAGATATAAATCCATCCAGTTATTTGATACAGCCCACCCTTTTCCCCACCTTGTTAAAAAATACAAGAGATGGTGTCAAACATTTTGCAGAAATGTTTGCTATAGCACTTCACTGATATATCCATCTAATTCAGCTGAGTTTTAAATTGATACTGTTAAAGCAGCTAGGTGCTCTGTTATGTCCTTGAATTCCCTTTTAACCACTTTTTTTAACATTTCCAAATAAAAGTCATTCTCTTTAATGGAGAAGACAGAAAAAAAATAGGACCGGAGTAGTTCTACTGTCGCCATCAGTTAACAATTGAACTTCTGCCCCAAAGAGGCTATCACTTTCTTGTTTCACAGGCTCAAAAAAAAAATCTAAAAATATTTTCTTTTAACTAGTGAAGCTATTGGTTTTTTTTTGTTCTGGCTCCAAATAATCTTAAAATCTTTGTTATCCGTGGCTTTGCCTCCAAGCCTCCGATCATTTTAGACCTTGTACTACCTCTAGCTCTTATTCCTAACTTAACTCTTTCCAAGTTGTGCCTTCGTTCTTGATCATGCACTCCTCCTTCCTTCTCCTCCCATGTTGTGTACACGTTCTTTTAAATACAGAATCTCAAAATGAAGTTAAGATTTACCTCCCTACCTCCCAAAGGACACTTCAGAAAGGTGCTTCTCAAAATTGTCAGTCAACACTTCATAAAACTTTATTATTACTAACCTGATGAATTGTAGAGCCACCAGAACCCTGAGCATCCGAAGAACGGGTCACTGGAAGTGGAGGTACTAGATCCGTTTTTGAACTGCAGAGAGTGAGTCTTAGAATTAATGATTACAACAGTACCAAGAATCAGAACTTGAGTTGGAGGGCCACAGGGTAGAAAGCATGTTTTATATACCCTTGTATTCTACACAGTGCCTACCGCAGTGCTTTATACGAACAGGCATCTAATAAATGTTTTTTAATTAAGTTGGAGGATTAAGTGATTTGCCCAAAGTCACAGCTAAAAAATGGAAGAACCAAAAATAAAATACAAGTATGTTTCCTATGTACTTCTCTCAGTGACAAATTATCACATCAGTTTTTTATTTATTCCAATATCTAGACAAATATGTGGCCATTTATACTTCAAAAAAAAAAAAATCTTACGGAACTGTATACAGCCATGCTTTACATTTTTACAAACAAAGCCAAACAAAAAAAACCGTGGCCTATACCTCTCTCCACTAGGATAGCCTATCTGACAGCTTATTTAATGCTTATCAAACTTTTGAGCCTTAATTCAGAGTTTACTGGCTAACATTCTTAGCCAGCAGTATCAAGTACATGAATTTTCATGACCAGTACTTTTACAAGTGAATGCATAATTATATCATTAACACATTCATTTAAAAAAATAGATCTATCATGTGTCAAGCTAAGACATGGTCCCTATCCTCAAAAGAAACAATAATAAGGCCAACCAATTTGTTGTAGCAAAAGAAAAGACAAAATGCCATTAGATCAAAAAGAAACTCTTGAGCCAACCTACTTCTCTCAAGTCTTATATTTTAGTTAGATTAATTAAAAAAAACATTAGATGCCTGTCTGTGTAAAGCACTGTGACTGCATTATTCACAATAGAATTGTTTGTACATTTCATTCTTAAAGCTTCCTTTCTTCTAAAAACTTCAACATACTGCGTGGAAGTGCCTTGATTTGTCCAAGTATGGTCTAGATCTGCACTGTCCAATATGACAACCACCAGCTACATGTGACTAAATTTAAGTTAATTAAAATTGACAAAATTAAGTTAGTTTCTCAGTCACACTAGCCACATTTCAAATACTCAACAGATATATATATATAGACCATGTCCACCATGGAAGAAACTTCAATTGCACTGCAACGGCCTAGGGCCATGAGGAGGACACTACACACAGGCCTGCCCACTTACTTCACTTCTGAGAGAACGGATCGCTCTCCATCTGAACACTGGGACCGGCGATACTGGCGGTAACTTCGTGGGGAATGAGAATGCCTGATACGGATTGGGTCACCTTGCGTCCTAAACAAGCAACCAAAAACCATGGATACAAACACACCAGAAGTCAGACAGGATTATGTGGAGTTCTTCCTTAAAGAATGGAGCTCTTCTTTATCTTGAGACCTCAAAGGAATAATGGCTTTTAGAATTTTAAAATAATTTTTGACTCTTCTCCAGGCTTTTGAGAGCCTGAGTGTCTTAAAATTTCACAAGTAGAAAACTGTTCACTTGACCACACATGCAAATGAAACTATTTACACTGTGTGTGTGTGTGTGACTTGACCACACATGCAAATGAAACTATTTACACTGTGTGTGTGCGTGTGTGTGTGTGAGAGAACCATCAAATTTTAACGAAATTATTCACTATGGAGAATTTTCTACAGTGGTATGGAAGAAAAAAGATCTAGAATGTATGCAAAATGGCATTCCTATCAGAAAATGTTGGTTATTGCCCTAGCTACTAACTAGCCTGTCATTAAAAGTTCAAACTTTAGCCTAAAGACAGAGGTTAAGGGGGGCAGTGTGTACCAGCCTGCAGTTTGCCTTGGGTAGGAGGGAAGCATAGGTTGCAGAAGGGAAATAATGAGGTAGGCAAGTTAGGCCCCTCTTCCTCCTACCAATTATGAAACTAGGGAGTCCTTTCAAGAATATGTTCTATGTGCTAGTTCTATGATATGGATTGAACTGGGCTTATAGGACAGGGTTTTACAGCCAGCATAATTATCTCGATGTTAAATAATGAATAAAATGAACTTTGTTACCAATCAATGAATATCTCAGGAAAATTATTTTTAAAAATCTGACATTCATAATCAAAAGCCCTTTTGTGCCTACCACATACAAGTAAGTGGTTAGTAGGAGATGATAGTGATTGTATTGAATGAAAATAATCAGTTTTAAATACAACCTTTTCTTATCTCTTTATAGATACTTTAAATTCTAGTTAAAATGTAAAGACAAAGCACTGCGTGGAACACCACTGAAGAGTAAGAATGGATTAGTCACTTATAATTCCTATTAGAACACCTGTGAAAAGAGTTGCAAAGACATACTCACTCTATTTTAGTGTATGGAATCTCTTTTAATTGTTCCTCTGACAATCCAGATGGATCCACAAGTTCCTTTCTAGAAGAGAATAAGCAAAATGGAAGTTGTGATGCTGGTATATATATTCTAACACCTTCTACAACTGGCAAGTGAGTTTTCCCGTTCTAATCTTGTCTCGAAACACTTGTTAGTAAAACTTTAAGCAGGGAACAAAGATTTTAAAACTAACGTGTTCAAGGAAAAATAGAAGGAAAACCTTTTCAGTAGCTCTTTTGCCTTCTTCCAAGTTTTCTACATCCTGACTTTCATGATTATCCCTCATTTCTCTACTAAAAAATCTGCTGCTCTCCCCTGTGGTGCGTGTTTTTTGTTGTTGTTTTTTACTTCTGAATCTGCTTTCTTCAGTGTTTATTTGTAAAATATTTGCCTGTCTGGGTTCCACTTATAGTAGAGGCCAAATGACCTTATGAGAGGAGATTTAAGGCTGCCTGTGAACGGGCTGCCTCCAGAGCCCGCCTCCCTGGCACTGCTGGCATGGTGAGGCACTGCCACAGGGAGAGCCACGCAGCACCTAATGATGAGAACGAGGGACATGTGACAGACTTCAGCCTCAGGCTGCCTCTCAGCAGCAGTGGCCTTTCTTATAAGTGCCTTAAAACTACACTGGTTTTAAAACAATGAAAAAAATACTCACTGAATATGCTTCCATAACTCTTCTTTTGCTTGGATATCGGGGCTTCTCCTATAAATAAAACAACACTCATCTCTGCAAACATGTTTCATCCTACAATCTAATAGCTAACTTTAACAGAGCTACAACATTAATAGTTTTCAGACCACACAGTTTATTTGCCAGCTGACCAGTCAAGGAAAGACTGGGAGAGAGAGCTACTTTGATAGTATAAAGACACTAGGTGATTTATCTGCTAGTGCCACTAAAGGAAAATCACATAAAAACCAGAGTAGGGCATCATTTAATGTAAGAGCTTAGAACTTCAGGCACATCTGCACAACTACCAGTGGTGATTGTACAATGAAGAATGATCTGGGGCTTCTGTTTTGGTCCTTCCAGCTATTTCTAAGTAAGTAAAACAAGAGCCTATCCTAATTCTGTTAATATGAAAGAATCCCAACATGATATGTAATTACCTAGTAGAAGCAGCAACTAGAAGGGAAAAGGAACTGGTGAGACAGCCCAGGTGGCAGAGCCAAAGATGCCAATGCCTCATCTTTCCTATTTCATCTGATGCTGCCTTTCTATGCCAAATCTTGGGCCCACAAATGCTAGAACCTATCTGTGGCCTCTGCTCATGATACCACCCTCTATATGCCCTTTTCCATCTCCAAATATAGGCCCCACAAATCCCTTCTCCTCCAAAAACATGTGAGTAGAAATTATGCCACTACCATTAAGACCAGTTGCCACTGAGTCAATTCGGATCATGGAAACCTATGTGTGTCAGAGTAGAACTGTGTTTTCAATAGCTGGTTTTTCGGAAGTAGATCACCAGGCCTTTCTTCCGAGGTGCCTCTGGGTGGACTCTAACCTCTAACCTTTCGGTTAGCAGCTGAGCATCTTAACCGTTGCACCACCCAGGAACTCCACTACATTTAACCTACAATGAGAAACTCAAAGTCAGCATTTATGTGTTCTCATTCCCCATAGTTAATAAGTAGCAATGAATACTAGAAATCTATTATCACTGCAATTGTCGCTACAGAACGACTTTTTCATAGTGAGAAAATTATAACAAGCTTTCATCAATTCTTTCAAGTGAAATAAGGTCTAATAATAGGCCAAAAATCCACTCACAAAGGACTCAAACAATAACAAAAGGCCTGGAGCTAAGCAAAGCCACTGATATACTCTGTCCCGTGGAATTTTAAATTTATAATTTGTATCAGTATTTTCAGGGCTCATATGATATCATCATTGATTTCACTTATATCAGTTAATAAGGGATTCTAGCAGGGCTTTCTGAACCCACAGAGTAGAATAAGCTACTTTCTAGCAATTGAATTGGCTAAGTATTTTTCCTTTGTTGGGGAAAAAAATCTGTGTGTGAAGATCTTTTAATCAACTCAGAATGGGTCAAACATGGAAAAGGGGCAGAGGATGAAGCCTTGGTCTCAGACATGTAAACTGTAGAAGAATATGGCATCAGGATTGGAGGAAGACTCTTTAGCAACCTGCAATATGCAGATGACACAACCTTGCTTGTGGAAAGTGAAGGGGACTTGAAGCACTTACTGATGAAGATCAAAAGACCACAGCCTTCAGTATTGATTACACCTCAACATAAAGAAAACAAAAATCCTCACAACTGGACCAATAAGGAACATCATGATAAACGGAGGAGACGACGTTGTCAAGGATTTCATTTTACTTGGATCCAAAGTCAACACCCATGGAAGCAGCAGTCAAGCAATCAAATGACATACTGCATCGGGCAAATCTGCTGCAAAAAACCTCTTTAAAGTATTAAAAAGCAAAGATGTCACTTTGAGGACTAAGGTGCGCCTGGCCCAAGCCATGGTATTTTTGATCGCCTCATATGCATGCGAAAGCCGGACAATGAATAAGGAAGATCAAAGAAGAACTGATGCCTTTGAATTATGTTCGCAAAGAATATTAAATATACCATGGACTGCCAGAAGAACAAACAAATCTGTCTTGGAAGAAGTACAGCCAGAATGCTTCTTTGAAATGAGGATGACGAGACTTCGTCTCACTTACTTTTGACATGTTATCAGGAGGGACCAGTCCCTAGGGAAGGACATCATGCTTGGTAAAGTAGAGGGTCAGTGAAAAAGAAGAAGACCCTCAGCGAGACGGATTGACACAGTCAGTGGCTGCAACAGTGGGCTCAAACAGAGCCAACGATTGTGAGGACGGCGCAGGACCAGGCAGTGTTTTGTTCTGTTGTGCATGGGGTCACTATGAGTCAGAACCAACTTGACAACTACTCCCAGAGAAAGATGGTTCAGTTACAACTATACCCCAGCATTCAGTTCTCACAGAAAGTCACCCAAGAGCCTAAAGCATTACATTGTATCTAGGTTAGGAAACTATTCTACTGATAATCACTCTTACTTCAGGAAGGTGCGATAGTGAGGGAGTTGGCTAACTTTGAGGTATAGCAGAATTTCTTAACCTCAGCACCACTGACATTTTGGGTTGGTTAATTCTCTATAGTGGGGGACTGTTCTGTGCATTGTAGGATGATTAATAGCACCCCTGGCCTCTATCCACTAGATACCAGTATCATATCCCCAGTTGCGACAGCCACAAATGTCTCCAGACATTGCCAAATGTCTTCTGGGGGACAAAATTGCCCCCGGTTGAAAACCACTGGTCTAGCATATGACTTTGGAAGTGTAAGTTGGGCCAAGAAGCTGAGAGGCCAATTTACTGTAAAGATCCATTATGTGGCTATTGAAATAGTATTGGAGACAGTGACAGTGAGACAGGTACTAAATCTTATGAGAATGAGGGAAAGTGACCCAAAGGCACAGTTGATGACAGCTACAAGGAGCAGTAGTGAGTGGTATAACTTGACTGCATAGATTCGAAGTTGTGTGCTTTCAGGGAGGCAGGAGGTACGATAAGAAAAAGCAATGAGGGCAAGGAGGACATACACCTCCCCACCACTATACCAGGCCTAGTGCAAAGGGTGTGAGAGATAGTAAATATAAATAATATATTAAAAAATGGTAACTGTGGATATTTCTTAGTGTTGGAATTGCAAGTAATTTTATATTTTTCTATCTTTTCTGATTTATTTTTTAGCCAAGAGAACTTCTTACCTCAATTATCAGAAAAAACATAATGATATTTTCATATTTAAAAAAATTACTATTGGTATTCCATAGGAGGTGTCTTTCATTCTCATCTCTGAAGAATCAACAGAAATGTTATCTTAACATGAATGAGAACATCAGTCCTTCCAGCCATAAATATTGGCCCTAAATGATTCAAGAACTTAGTTTATACCTTTAAATGCTATAGCACCATAATAGTCATATTTTTAACTAAACAGAATTCTGAAACGGTGAGCACTTTCAAACAGCTTTAAGGCAGGGAAAAGTTCCAAGCTAAAATATCAAATGCAAATTTCCTCCAATTGCTAGACCACCTGCGATTTTACAAATGTAAACACAAGCTACATGCTAATGAGGAATGTATTATTTTTATGTCTCAATCTGCACACACTTAATCAGTAATTTAGGATGAATTCATGATCTGCAGCTCAACATCATTTTGTGGATTTAGAAAGCTATGGAATTTTAACAGCCATTTTTCTTAACTAAAAGACCCTTAATTATGCAGATGTTTTCCCTGAACTCTCCAAAGAAGTCCCTAAGGAAATAGAGCCCTGAGTTATCTATAGATATGATACATATAAAAAATAAGCATGTAGTCAAATATTAGCCCATTATTTTTCAAAAACAGCTCTCATCCACACCTTATACAAATGCCCCACTTTAAATTAATGTTCTTTTTTTTCAGAGAAATTAGGTTCATGAGACATCATTTAAAAACCATCTTCCCTTCTTCCAAAAGCTAAAGTAAGAAAACACTTCACAAAGCTCCAAGGGGTTAAACTCCAACACTGCATATGGTCTTGTATTGTTGTGGCTGTTGTTTGTTGCCATCAATTCAAGTCCGACTCACGGTGACCCTATGAATGAAGAGTAGAACTGTTCCTTAGGGTTTTCAAGGCTGTGACCTTTCTGAAACAGATCACCAGGCCTGCCTTCTAAGGTGCCTCTAGGTGGGTTCAAGCCACCATCCTTTGGGTTAGTAGTTGAGCACGTAACCATTTGTGCCATCCAGGGATTTCTATGCATACCCCAAATTCTCTAATTATATTATCTAAAAAATATTATACTATGATATATGTTATATATTATAATATACATACTATGTTGTTGTTAGGTGCTGTCTAGTTGGTTCCAACTCAAAGCGACCCTAAGCACCACAAAACGAAACCCTGCCTGCTCCTGCACTACACTCACAATAGTTGTTATGCTTGAGCCCATTGTTGCAGCCACTGTGTCAATCCATCTCTTTGAGGGTCTTCCTCTTTTTCGCTGACCCTCTACTTTACCAAGCATGATGTCCTTCTCAGGGACTGATCCCTCCTGACAACATGTCCAAAGTATGTAAGACATAGTCTCGCCATCCTTGCTTCTAAGGAGCATTCCGGTTGTATTTCCTCCAAGACAGATTTGTTCGTTCGTTTGGCAGTCTGTGGTATACTCAATACTCTTCACCAACACCACAATTCCAAGGCGTCAATTCTTTGGTCTTCTTTATTCATTGTCCAGCTTTCTCATGCATATGATGCGACTGAAAATACCATGGCTTGGGTCAGGCACACCTTAGTCTTCAAGGTGACATCTTTGCTTTTCAACACTTTAAAGAGGTCTTTTGCAGAAGATTTGCCCAATGCAATGCATCTTTTGATTTCTTGACTGCTGCTTCCATGGGTGTTGATTGTGGATTCAAATAAAATGAAATCCTTGACAACTTCAATCACATACTACATTATACTAAAAAAAATGGCAACATTTGACTTTTACTATTTTTGTGGTCTTTATACTGACCACTACTCTAAAAGGAAATTTATAGTTAAAAATATATGAAGAAAACTTTTAGATTTACAAAACACCTTTGTTAAAGAATTCAAAGCACTTAACAGATATCTCAGTAATTCTCCGCCATATTCCTGAGTGGTC